AAGTTGTCGGCATTACGACCGGTGATCACCACTTGAGCCCCATATCGGGCGAACTCGACGGCTGTTTGGGCGCCGATACCACTACTTGAACCGGTGATTAGCACTATTTTATTTGCAAAATTTTTTGATGTCGACATTATTATTACTTTATGTTAAATATAATGTAATTGACTTAAATAAAATTGTTTTATACTGAATTAACCAAGTTTATATAGCCATTAAAATGTATATACAATAGTATTGTGGACTTATTTAGTACAATAGTTATAATGTTTGTTATTATTCACTTGAAATGCACTAATCTTAGAATAAATTCTAATAATGAAAGTACCTGTTGTACTTACCATTAATAAAAAGTATAAAAGTAAATTAATTCAACCAAGGCCATCAATTGATAGCTGTGTGGCGTTGTACTTTTGCATTATATTGCACAATAAGAATTAAATAAATAATTATATTTTTAAGTTACAATTTTTGACCATTAATGCATTCAGATTGAACTTGGTCTTTTATTCAAAATAAATCACAAAGGAATTTGTAAAGAATTATCGTCTGTTCAATGCATATTCTATTCATATACAACTTTATATTCAAAACTATTTGTGACAATATAATTTTTAATATCACATAAATTTTGTACACAATAGACTAAAGTTAACCCATAAGTTATTATTATCTATAAATTATAACTTATTATGATTAATATTTTATTTAAATTATTAAATAATAATTTTATAATTAATGATTAAACCAAAATTTTAAATTATTTTATGTTAAAAGTATTCAGATTAATTAAATATAAATAATTAAAAACAATTATGAAATTCTAAAATGTTATAAAATACATTATAAAAAACATATACACAAACATTAATGATTTGTTAAATTGTGTGAAATTAGGCTCATGCTGATTTGTATACTAAGAGATAGGGCCAATAAATTACGTGAAAGTTTATTGTGTATTAATAATAATATTTTTAATAGAATATAAATCAATATAATCAATAAAAGTAATATCACAATAGCATAATAATTATTAATTTATGTAGTTATTTTTGAAACCATAGGAAGGGTTAGTTTAAATTTTTTTACATTTGTTTAGCGATAAAAATATGTTATGATTTTATTTTAAAACATTGAGTGACTAATAGAGAAAAATATATAATTTATTAAATCTTAATATATTTAAATTTTGCATTGGTTTTCTATTAAACTACATAAAACATACGTACTGTACTGTATATAACATTCATGTAAAACACAATCAATACAATTATTTAATTAAAACCAATTATGAGGGCGCGTGAAGAGAGCCGCCGTCGGACACAAAGTGAACGCCCGTCACAAACGAGGCCTCGTCTGAGGCCAAGAAGAGTATGGCGTTCGCGATGTCTATGGACTCACCGACCCGTCCGACCGGGCATTTGACAGCCCTTGTAGTATATAAGGCCTCCGCCTGTTCGTTGGTATAGCCCATTGCCTGAGTAAAATTGGTCCTAATGGCACCCGGACTACGCAATTGATACAATAAAAATATATCAATTAATTATTATAATTAAATCATGATTGCAATACTTGATAACATTAACGCGAATCCCTTTGGGTCCCAATTCTAGGGCCAAACATTTGGTGAACATATCGAGCGCACACTTTGACATACAATAGATAAACCCTGTTCTATACTAATTTTGTACAAAAATACAACCATGATTAGATATTGTGTATTAATAATTAATTAATGGCAGATATATTTACCGGTTTAAGTCCCGCAACGCTCGATATGTTAATAATATTGCCTTTAGTTTTCTCCAAGTGATCGACCGATAGGTGTGTTAAATAGACGACTGAACGGAGGTTTGTGTCCATCCCTTCCCGGTATTTGTCGAGAATAGCCGTATCAGTGATCGGACAAAACACACCCTTTCCCGCGTTATTCACTAATATATCCAACCGTTTGAATGCACTGATCGTACTGTCAATCAGTCGCTTACAGTCGGCGTCTTTACTCACGTCTGCCAACACTTCCAGTGGTTTGAGACCATTGGGCGAAACGGCCGCACATTGTTTGGCCACTTCTGACAAGTTGTCGGCATTACGACCGGTGATCACCACTTGAGCCCCATATCGGGCGAACTCGACGGCAGTGCCGGCGCCGATACCACCGCTCGAACCGGTGATCAGCACTACTTTATTGGCAAAATTTTTTGATGTCGACATTATTATTACTGTTTCCACCGTATGTTAAGTATACTGCGATTGACCTAAATAAAATAGTTTTTAACTAAATTAAACAAGTTTATATAGCTTTAATATACAGTATTGTAGACTTGTTTAGTACAATAGTTATGATGTTTGTTTTCATACACTTAAAATGCACTAATTTTTGAATAATACATAACTTTATTTATAAAGAAAGTAACTGTTTTATTTAACATTGATAAGAAATATAAAAGTAAGCTAATTCAACCAAGGTCATCACTTGGTGCAGTACTTTACAGTATGCATACATTGCATTATAAGAATTTTTTATTTGCAAATTGTTTATTATTATTATCTATAAAATATAACTTATTACATTTTATATTTTATTTAATTTATATTAATTAATAACTATTAATTAAATCAAAACTTTAAATTATTTTAAAATAAAAATATTTAAATTAATTAAATTAGCTAATTTATTAACACACAATTTTATTTGAATATTCATAAGTAACTTATAAATATAATTGCTGTTATTTACTAATTTTCTATTTATTTAATTTGCAAAATTAATTGACCATAATTAGTTTTTTAAATCAACAATTTCTGTCCACCCATTGGCTCTGATACTTCTCTCGGAGCCAATCATTACGCGCGTCCTTACAGTCCGTATCGGACCATAACTTATTGCCCGCGTGTTCATTGAGAAAACTCTCGTAAACACCTCTATCCAAATACTTAATACCATTATCGTTTACAAACAGATTGGCCGACATCTTAATGCCCAGGAAAGCCTCCTTTTTGAGCGCACCCGTCGACAGCTTATTGCCGGCTAAATAAATATCAATTATGGCCGGTGAGACCTCTACTGTTACGGCAAATGCCTCGTCGTGAATCTCGCTAATTGCGTTGAACTTGATCCATAGCATCACCAATCTAGGTACATCGCTGAACGCGTGCTTGCCTATGCTGGTCATTTTTGTATTCTCGCTAAACAGTACGTGGCTTAAATCGTGGTGACCCTGTACAGCGTTGTCTGGTATAGAGGTCAGCGCCGTGTTTGTAATGGCCAGTGATTGTAGGCCTTTCAGCGTATGGATGGCCGCGTATACGTCCCACTGGCCGTCACCCGTGCGGTCACCGATAGGAGTGTTCTCGATGGACAGGGCGTAGATAGAGGTCTCTGTGCCGTTGAATGCGTAAGGGCTGACCCGCGTTAGACTACTGGCGCCGTTCAGGTGGACGGTCTGGAAGTGTAGGTCAGCGAACACACCGGCGGTCAGTTTCCGGACAGCCGTGTTGTGAATAGTTATGTCTGTGAAGTGTTTTTCACTGTCGGTTAGGTTTAGGCTAAGGGCGCGTAGAAATGTGCCTAGCTCATGCGGATCGTCACCCTGGCACAATATGCCGCAACCCTGGTTGTATACGTCAAATTTGCACGGTGCGCTAATTAGCCATGGTTGCGGACACAGATCCGCACCCAGTGATAACTGGCATAGTGTGGCCAAGGATAATAATAATGATACTATTAAAAATATAAATATTATACAGCATTTAATTTAAATAAATTTTAGTTTTTCTAATAATTTAATTTATAGAATAAAATGATCTTGTTCACATTAATTTTTTAGATACTTACCGTAAGCATTCATGGTAAATAAATTTGTTTTTACTGTTAAACATCAACAGGTAATTAAACTATATGGTTATTTAGTGCAGCAGCTACTTATATACTTTACATTATCACATTACATTACATGCTCCTTATCCATTATCATAAATGCCCAGCTTAATGCACGGAATGTATTTTTAAATCTCTTGTATTGTTTTGATAAAACATTGATTATATTAATTATACTTTAGATGTAAAGATTTACTTTACATAGACCCAATTAATTGAAACATACATAATATTAAAGCATATATATTTTATAATATACTGTAAATTATTTAATTATACATAACATTGTGCATAAATTATTAATACTTCAACATGTTATTTTTTATGAAACCAAAACGGCTTGTCTAGCCAATATTAAATTAACAATTTATTTCAACCTTTGTTATATCTATTTTACAATAATAACTTCACGTGATACATTTGTGTAACAAAAATACAAGCTCATATAATTTTTAAGACGTATCTACATTAGCTTATCCATATTGTTAAGTTTGTTTCAGATACCTTGTTATACACTTAAGTTTATTAGGATTAAAATATCAATGGATCAACATGAAATAAATTGACAAAAATAAGACGTATAATCTAGGTGTTTTTAGGAACAATTCTAACAGAATCAGTACAGATTGCACTCTAAAGTTATATTACATTTCCATAAAAAATTTTGTTTTATCCAACGAAGTACAGTATTATTAATATTATTAATATTTGTGATTTGCACAGTGTTATTTTATTAGAATTGTAGTTTTATATTTAATAAATACATTTAAAATTATTAATTGCTAACTAATGTTATAATAAACAATATAAATTAAAAATATTTATATAATTATACTTAACATAAATTTATTTTTAAAAAAATACACACTAGGAAAATGATAATAAATAAAAAAGGAACAAACAAAATTAATCATCGTAAAATTAGGACAACAATTAAACATTTCGTAAAACAAGATTATTTTCAAACATGTCTGTTTTAAAAATTATAATTAGGATGAATTCGCCAAGAAGTACATTCGGCCAATACTATCAATAACGCCAACGCATAACAATAGCCAACAAAACGATACAAATTACCAAACAATTTGCCTGATAATACTTCATATGGCTGTTTGTGGCCGCTTCCATAATAATCACTGAAGTTACCATCACCAAAAATCTTCATCTCATCAATTGATTTTATTTGAAGTAGTGTTTTATAAACCATTATTTCCTTTTCCCAGAATCTGAGTATTCCGTGTTCCACGTATTGTTGTACACTAAACAATTAACATAGGTAATTTTTAAGTTAAAACTTAATTGTATAATAATATTATATTTGTCAATCAATATAATAAATATTTTGAAAACTAATAATACAGAAAAATACACCAATTTGTGATATTTTTCTCACATTTATCCAGGATTTTCAAAATATAATTTGGCAACTATGATTTAATGTCATAGCATAAAACAATATAAATTGTCAATTATTTACTAAATTGAGCTATACATACATAGTGTTCACCAAATTTCTATATGGTGTTAATTGTGGTCCGTAACAGGTAAACGTCATTAACCTTAGGTAAATAGGTTCGCCGACGTGCCATGGCAAGATGCGTTTTATTATTTCTAACTGGGTAATGTAGTTCAATTTTTTGTGAACAAATGCCACGTCTTTTAATGCCTGTGTTAAGCCATACGTTAGGATCATGTTATATAAGGTGTAACCCGTTATGTCACGTTTTTTGATCAAGTTTAATTTAACTCGAAACTCGCGTTCGTACTTTGTCGAATTTTGTGACAGTTTTGGCAAATCACGTTCAAATGATTCCATATATATGGTATAGCGCGGGTCTGCAATAAGGTCATCAATGGTATCCACGTGTCGGACCGGCCGGTGCGACATCTGACCAATCAAAACGTTTTGCATTATATAAGGCAATGGCAGTATTGACAGTAGCCATAATACGTATAGCCAATCGCGGCCACCGGTGTTAGCAGTGTTGTTGTCGCCAATCAGTAGCAGTGATTTGCCGTAAACCCACGCCATTTGCCAAACAGACCGACTGTTGGCCACCCTATTGGTGGCGCGTGCGATGACTACGATCGCCACAAACGCGGCCAACACTACCAGCCATACGGTTATAGAGAACACTCGCCATATGTCAGTCATGGGTGGATAGGGTTGGAACGAATCAAAACTCAGATAGTTGACCATGTGCTCCATTTCCAATGGCCTGGCGCAAGTTAATTGTTGCTGTTCGGTGGCCCACATGTAATTGTGTTGCATATCAATTAACGCTGTTATTTTACCCTCTCTGACCATGGTGATCGAGTTTATTTTGTGCCATTTAGCATTAGATGCGCATTCAAATCGATATAAATGTAAGCTACAATCAGTTTAAAATTAAACTATTATAAAAGATGTTTTGGGCTAACAATAAATTTACTAATTTTGTTACCCTAAAAATCCACAGATATGCCGCGGCTTATCTGATGAAAAAAGTGTATTTTATGAAAAAAATTAGAAAACGGCGTACCTGTGGATTCAGCCTAGCTATAGTTCCGCATATAAAGTTATAAAGTTTGCTTTATATTTACAATTCCAATTATGAATTTTCAATTCATATTTCTAAATTGCTTATTTATATATAAAATGATCATTGTACTTTGTTTCATATAAATATTATTACAGTCCCAAAATCTTAATATACAGTATAATATAGAGTAAAAGAGTTTATAACACTAAATGTAAACAATTAATCAAGAGATTGGTATATCAGCGTTTTTATTAAATTTCTGTTTTGTTTAACTTGGTAATTTTATAATGTTTCATGAATTATATGAATTAACTACGAGTAGTGTAACCATTTTCATTCTGTATATTTACATTAAAACTAATGATTAATAATGTCCATAAGTTTTAAAAGATGATCTGTATAAAACTCGTTTTATTTACATAGGTACCGGCTTATCTGTGGGAACATTTTACTTTCAAAATTTTATTATCCGGCTTATACGCGGGTGGGCTTTTAGGGTAATATAATCAGATTTACTATGAGAAAAGTTTCTATAGGATTTAAGCATTTCTTAATACATAATATTGTTATATACAAACAATTAACACAAGTTAACCACAATTTACATAATTAAATTGTAGGTATTACTCATAGAATAAATTGGCACTATCTATATATTTAAAAAATTAACATTACCATAGACTTATAAAAGCAGAACGATTCTATTAACCACATTATTCATAGCTGAATTGAGGTTAAAAATTAATGTAGATATAATGTAAAACACTTTCGATTCAAAGTAATTATAGTAATAATGTGTTGAATATTACAGA